AACACTGGTGGATTAAGGTAAACCAGAGCTCTTTTACTAGGATAAAATTAACCTATTGCAGACTGAGTGTGGTGGTATGCACCTGTAATCTCAGTGCTTGAGGCTGAAAACTATCACCATGAATCCAATCTGTGTAGTGAGACCCTGTAGTCCCTATACTAAAATACATAAAATTTTTTTTAATTTAAAGCATTGAGATTTGCCATCCCTTACATTACTATTTACACTACAATTATAGGTCTCTTTTCTATGGTTAAAAGTGGTACACTCCTACTATGTAGTATAGGTACTTTCCTAAAAACAAGTCTTAAAAGCTGTATTTTAATTTAAAATCTTTAAGATGGAGAGTACTACTCCAAAAATTAGGAAGACACAATGTAAAAATCAAGCTTTTATTACTTATAAGTCTTGGGGGTTATGCAGCATACTTAGGGAAGAAAGAAGAAGGGGGCCAGCAATCATGTGAAAAGAGAGAAACAAAAGGGCCCAGGACAATGTCGAAACATGTTTCCAATGGAAAATTTTAATTGATGGGTTTAAAGCAAGCAGAAATGGGTTCTACGAGGTCATGTAGAATCTGAAAGGTAGTCACCGTGGCATATTTCCAAATGTCAGGTATGAGGGCCCATGAGACCAATAGCAGGCAACTATTATATATTATAATATATATAATATTATATAATGTACATATTATATATATTAACTATTACATATAGCTGTCCCTTGAGGTCATCACCAAGGAGCATAAGGCAGATAAGTGGGCCAACTACACTGAGGAACTTGAAGGAAGTGTAGTATGGGAAACTGTTCTTTGTACTGTTAACTTCTTGGTCATTTTTATCCAATTTATTTCCATTGAAAGTTTACTTAGCTGGCTCTATCATTAAGCCTTAGCTACTCCCTTCCTGGGGCTCACACATAGCTGAGAAGACACTTGAAGAAGAAAGACTTGTCATGTGATGTGAAGAGTTCTGTTGGAGAGGTTCATCTTCCACTACTAACCTGTATATATATA